CCCCCCCCCCCCCCCCAATATTCAGAGTGCTAGAATGTGCCTTCTGATTTTAGCTGCTGAGACACAACAGAGTTCTTTCTGATGAAGCGGGGATCTTAAGATGGCTGTTTCCTGATTGGAATAGTGCCTATGCATTAGGAAGTACCACTGTGTTCAGCACTCATGATTTGCTGTAGAATGGTAGAACAGGAGAAAACAAACCTATTCTGGTAATTTGAGATCATCCAGGAGGCCCTTTCATCACTGTGGAGGTAACAAAGGTGATCTCTTCCTTTCTAGTGTGATAGGTGCCCATCAAGAAAATGTAACATTCATGTATTTCCCAGACCTCAAAGACCTTTTGATACCATTTTATTACAAAATAATAATTGTGAATGCTGTAGATGTAATAAAATGATGAGAGAAAGTTCACGAACCCTTTAGAATTACCCATAATCCTACAGTTCTATAACCTGCAGTGTGATCAGAGCTTCATCTAAGTTCTTTTAAGGGATAAGAGATTCTAGTTAAATCACATTAAAAAAATAATGCACTATGTCAGTAACTTTCTTGAACACATTGAGCCAACATTGTTTTTGTTGGAAATAGTATGTGAAGCTTTAGCTTTAGTAACTGGTAACATGTCTTAGGGTTGCAATGACTTTAAGCACATTTCCTGTTACTATTGAAATCCTGCATGTTGCCTTGGAAGCATTTTGGCCCATTTCTCTTTACAGAATTGCTTCAACTCAGTGATATTGTTAGACTGTCTTGCACGAACTGCTTGTTTCAGGTCATGTCACAACAATTCAGCTGAGTAAGGTCAGGTTTGACTTGACTACTTGGGAATGAGATAGTTCTTTTGCTATAGCCTTTCTCTTGTGTGTTTAGGATCATTGTATTGCATGGCTCACATTTGTTTAAGCTTCAGCTTATGGAATACTATTCTGACATTCTTCTCTAGAATTTGGTGGTACAATTCTGAACCATAGAGTTGGAAATGACCTAAGAGGTCATCAAATCCACCCCCCACACACTGCAGCATTCACTATACCTTACCCAATAGATGACTATGCAGCCTTTCTTTGAAAACCCACCAGGGAAGGGAAGAAACCACTCCATGAGGTAACTTATTCCACTGATTGACAGCTCCTACTGTCAAGAAGTTCTTCCAAATATCTAATCTGTATCTACATCCTTGAAATTTCATCCCACTAATTTTAGTTTCACCCTCTGGAGCAAGTGAGAATAAGTCCAAACCCTCTACAGTGTGATAGCCCTTCAGATATTTGAAATAGCTATCATACCTTCTCTCAAACCTCTCTTCTTGTAAACTATCTTTTAACCATTCCTCATAGGACTTGGTTTCCAGTCCTTTTACCATCTTGGTAGCCCTTCTCTGGACTTGCTCCAGTTTATCAATGTCTTTTTTAAACTGGGGTGTGCAGGACTGAACGCAGTACTCCAGGTGAGGCCTGACTAAGGCAAAGTAGAATGGGATAATTACTTTCTGTGATCTGGACTCTGCTCCTCTTGATGCTCCTCAAGTTATCATTGGCCTTTTTTGCAGCCACATTACACTGTTGGGACATGTTGAGTCCTTCTTACATGTGTTGCTCTTGAGCAAGATTTTCCCCATCCTGTACATGTTTGTTTCAATTTTTTTAAGTCCTTTGTTTTTTTTCCCCTCTCCCCCCCAAGTATTAGCCATCTTAGCTAATGTATCCTAGCTTTATATCAGCTGCAAATTGTCCATTGTTCTCTCAATAATTGTGAGTGATTTGGGTCCTGAGGCCACAATGCTGCCCCAAGCCATGGTAATCCCATCATCATATTTCATGGTTGGGATCAAGCTGTTTTGTTGGAATGCAGTATTTCATTTTTTTCCAAATGAAGTGTTTTTCATTAACACCTAGCGGTTCTGCTTTCATCTCATTTGTCCACAGGACATTATTCCAGCAGTCTACTAGATCTACTATGGCCTTTGGCAGACTTGAGACAGGCAGAGGGTGTTGGGGTGGGGAGTCTGCTTTTTGGAGAGTAGTGATTTCCTCCCATGCATACCACTCTTACTCAGAATTTTCCTTATAGCAGATGTGTGAACATTGACATCAGAGCAAGCAAGAGTGGCCTGCAGATCCCTGGGGTTCTTTGTGACCTGCTAGAGTATAGTACATTTTGCTCTTGGGCTGAATTTGTGTTGGATAACCACTTCTGGGAAGAATAACACTGTGTCCTTCAGGGTAGACCTGATTAGGAAACTGACTCCACAGGGAGATTAGAGCTATTCGTTACTGAGATAGGTTAGAATAACAGAAACTTGCAAGCCTGATTGTTCTTTACTTCCCCTTCCTCTTACAGTATATTCCAGTGAATCGGAGAGGAGCCTGCCCAGTCTCTTCCGAATATTATCTTGTTTCCCAGGACTTAAAGAATCTTTCAACCCTCTTTCCTATTATAATGGTTCTTGCCTATTTTCTTCAGGGTCATCTTCCCAATTCTCTACACAGTGGTATTGTACTTTCCTCGTCATATACTATTTGCCTGACCATAGATTGATGGAGGCCAAATTCTTTCACAATGGTTTCATAGCCCTTTCCAGCTCATGAACATTAACACGCACACACACAAAGTGAATGTTGGCTTAATGTGTTACATAACAATATACTGTTTTATGTGTGATTTGTTTGTGCCCCCTTTTAATGAAATTAAATTAGTTAACAGGGCTAAGGTTCTAAAAATGTAGTTACCTGTTGGATTTGGTCCCAGCTCTGCAGCAAAATACAAAAATTTAAATTCAAAAACATCCAACAAAACACTTTACATCAACTGTGTATGGATGTTTCTGCAAGGACCTGTGCTGGGTTAGGTCTTCATCTGAAACCTGTGAAATAGAATTTTAGTGTGATGAACTTCAACACTGCAAGCATCTGTTTTCCCATACACAAGGCCTTCATACATCTCCCATCTCTCTTTCAGCCTGTTCTTTAACCAGCACCACTACCACCCCTCCTAATACCACCATTTGACTGTAGCATTAATACAGTCGTATGAAAAAGAAAGTACACCCTTTTTGAGTTCTGTGGTTTTACATATCAGGACATATTAAAAAACATCTGGTCCTTAGCAGTTCTCAAAAGTAGGTAAATACAACCTCAGATGAACAA